CCTGGGCAGCTCATGTTAATGTCATGTTAATTTCCTGGTCCTGAAGCCTTTGAGTTTGCAGTCTCTGGACTGAAATTTTGCCATATTGGGAAGAAATAATTATTGGATTTCCAAATATATATAATAATATAAATATATATTATTATATATGTATACACATATATATTTACTCTGAAAAAAAAGTAACAGGAGTTTTAGTTTCTATTTTCAAGCCTGTAACTTGCCTCTGACATTCAGCATATTTTACTTAAAACTTAATAGTTGCTTTTGATTCCCAATTAGGTTTCTCTCCCTTATAAACACAGTTGCTACCTCAGCTCTTATTTAGTTCCAGACAATATATTTTGATGGATTTCTTCTATAAGTTGTCTGTTTTTGCCAAGTAATGGGGCTCTCCATGGGGATGGCAGTTCAAAGAAAACTAATTCTATTTAGGGTTTGATTGCTCATTTAACTGGCTGACACCCACGTCCAAACTTACCATAAATTTATTATGAAATTTATCATTGTCATTTTGGATTTCTCTACAAGTAACCACATCTCCCTAAATTATCATAGTCATTATAATCCAACCTTAGTACTTTTCCAACAAAGACTAGATATTTAAGTGCCATAAGGCCAGATGCAAATCATTTTATTCTACATATGAATCTTGAAGTAAATACAAACAATCTAATTAGTTGTTTCACTTCAGCTAGGGTTCTTTGGTTTGTTTTAGTTTTCTTATTTTTGGCTTTGGTTTTTGGTTTTTGTTTCCTAAATCTTCTTGGCATTCTTACAAACATGGTCCATCCTCTACTTCAAATCAGCCTACAGTGATTAATAAATTACAGTTGAATATATCGTTTCTGATGATACAACACATGCTATAAAATAATCTTATTGGAACCCATTGTCATTATCATTTGTAGGGAGGGAAGGCTGCAAAACATCATGACCTTGTCATGTCCTGTTGGAAGAGGAACAATGGCCAGATATTTATTGACAGGATTCAAGACTTAAATGCGCGACTCACCAGAACTGACAAGGTCAGAGCAGCTCATAGGTAATAATGAAACTAATTTAAACAGCTGTGCTTACATGATGGTTTGACATCTGTCTTTGTTTCCTATCTGGCTTATGTGAATGATCCACCTCTATATAAGTCAAAACTAACAGTGTAGTAACATGGCATAGTTTCATTTTATCCAACTATTATCAACATTTTATATACAGTTTAGCATTCATCTGGGATTCTTGAGTTTGGCATCTCAGTGTTAGAGGTGAATATATATTTGCCTCCAAGATTATATTTTCCCATGAACTATTTTACTATAAAATGCATCTCCAAAGTAGTTTTTATGTGCTATTCCTTCTATTTTTCCCATAATTTTTCATCTTTCTACGTTGCATTTTCGCTGGTTAAGAATGTATACCCTTGCCTTATACTTAACATCAACCCAGAAGACAGGAATGGATTTGAGATGAGTATTGCCATGCTGGAGAATAATTACTCTAGTTAATCAATCTATGCAGAAGACACCTGACCAGAGCCTTTAATTCTGGTTCACATCATTTACAAATTTCACTTTAGCAGGTTCAGGAGATGAACTCTGCTTGTGTACCATGAGAGAGGGAGCTGGTTTGGAATTTCTGTGTTCATTATATATATCAGTAAAAGTATTTGTCTGTTCATATAATAATACAAAGGAAATGTGACATAAAAACATAATGATTGAAGGTACATATATGTGGACTGCCAAAAAAAAATATGCCAAAACAACCACCATAGGGAAAAGCTTTTCTGAATGCTCTTGCCTGATTTTGTCATTGTCTCACTCAGTAACACCTGACTCTTTCTCAACAGACTGCCACCACAGAGGAAGATGCCATGGGAATTCCACGGTTCCATTTACAAGTTCCAGCACTAAAGGGACATTGGGCTTTGTTCATGAGGGAAGATGAGAGAGGAACAATCAGTGAAGTGGAAGTGTGGGACTTTATGTACATGTTTATATTCATCACACCCAAATGATGGGTGGGATGGAAAATAGACAAAAAACAATTATAAGATACAGCAATGAAAGATTCCATAGAAGTGGACAGATTTCAAACACAGCATTTGTACATTTATCTGTGTGTTTATTATAAGCTTATTTAAAGTAATGTCCACATAGCAAAATTTGGAGACAACTGATTCACTTACCTATAACATAATTTAAAAAGATGTGGGAAGGGGGATGAATCATTCCTAAAAATATTCCAGTGCCAATAGATTCATATGCTTCAATTATGCACAATATATAATTGCTTCAATTATTTTTTTTAGTTGTCTTAGTCTGTTTGGTGCTGCTATCATAGAATACTTGAGACTGAGTAATTTATAAGAACAGAAATTTATTTACAGTGCTGGAGGCTGGAAAGTCCAAGACTGAGGGGCTTACATCTAGCCAGGGCCTTCATACTTCACCATCCCCTGCCAGAAGGCAGAAGGGCAAGAGAACACAAGAACGAGAGAGCAAGAGGGGCCCAAATTCACTTTTATAACAAACCCACTCTCACGATGGCCACATTAATCCATTAATAGATCAAAGCCCTCCTGATTTAATCACCTCTTATTAGGGCCCCATCTCCCAACACCAGTGCGTTGGGGATCAAGTTTCTAACACATGAACTATGGGGAACACATTCAAACCATAACAACTCTAAAACACAAACTTCTCTAATGTGCATTTCTCCTAACTTGATCCAAGGAGGAATAATCAGATCATGCCTACATAGGCAACTCTTTGCACTAGCACAGGGAACCACACTTAATGGAAGGAAACAAAAATAAATAAATAAATAAATAAGTTAAAAACAGACTTGAAGAACAAGACTGTCTTCTTTGAGGAGACAGACTATAAAATATCATCTATAATATAGATCACTTTGCTGCACAAATTTCTAAATTAGGAGGATGTTACTACTGCTAGGTGGAGAGTACATAGGCCATAAAATTCTGTACACACTTTTGCATTTATGAAATCTTCATAATCACAAAAAAATGTATATACTTAAGAAACTATACTGCCAACCAAAGAAGTGGCTTACACGGGTTGTGGCAAACTGAATAGATCTGAATAAATAATTCCTGCCACCTCAAAAATACTACCCAAATAAGTGTTGGGGAAAATATACAAACACACACACACACATGTGTGCGCGCGCACACACAGATTAATTTATATAGAAAGATTAGCAGACACATGCTTCCTATCTAAAAGTAGAATATCTTCCAATGGTAACTGACATGTGAAATATGGAGGGCCAAGCTCCTTTGAAAATGTGATAAAAGGCTCATATAAAAGGTAATTTTGGACCTACATAGAAAATCATCCATACATTTTCAGGAACTTCACAGAGTCCTTAAACCATAGGACAGACTCTTTAAGCAAGCACTTATAAGGAGCCAAACACATTTCTATAGACTTTATGTCAAATAATTTTATTTTCAAGTACACCATAAATTATTAAGGAAACTGAGGTTCAGTGACATTTCCAAACAGTAGTGAATCACTGAGTGAAATATTGATGAGTGCTGTATATAACACACACTCACACACACACACATATATATAAAGTAAACTGAGCCAAAAGATAATAAGTAAAACTGATAATATAAGATAATATAATAAAACTGAGCCAAAGATACTTTGGAAAGCTTTGCTTATAACAAACATTGGAATGAAGTTAGACAATGAATGGGTTAAATATAACCACTAATCACTGATGATTGCCTTGGCAGGAGGTGAATATTACAGAGATATATCTCTCTGTATGTATATAATATTATGGATAAATGTTTTTGTGACTCTTATAGCTTTCCAAAGACATGAATACAAAAGAAATCTTAACTGTTCTCCTCCACTCTTGGACCCTTACCATAAATTGGAGCCTAAGTCTCCATCTATACAACAAGTGCTGCGATAAGGATAGAAAGACTTAGGATGGCTGCTCTCTTCTTTGTTTTTCTGAAAAAAACAAAGGCGGGTATATACCATCTCCAAAAGCCTTACAACTTTCATGACTGATAATATCTAGAACTCATGAACACCGCTGAGAGATCACAAAGAGTGCATGTAGGTAACTAGAGAGAGGTAGAATTTGACATATTTTCCTGCTTCTATGAAGTTCCACCAAAACCTCTCTTTCCTCAGATCCACACAGGTCTGTTGCTGACCCCAGGGCAATATTATTGGGTTTAATGGACATTATAGATCCAAGAGGAAGAGACCTCTTAGTTTAACAGCATTTCAATGTAGTAAATGATTTGCCTTCAATAATCCATTATTTAATTAAAGAACAGTGATTTCTTTCAGCATTTTAATTAGTATCCAAGGTCTGCCCACTGAGAAGCCAAGTTGCTGAGGAAACAGGCAAGGACGATGCAGTGGGGAGCACCACACATCCCTTTTGACACCTGCACCCTTGACAGCATTCATTTCACTTAGTCTAGTTAGAATCAGGTTATAGAGGTTTGTTTTCAGTGCATTACCAACTTTCTCCCCTAAGGCTATGTACCCTTGGCTCCTACAAAACACAAGATATGTCCTAAGGGTAGAGTTTTTCTTTTCCCCCTTTGTCAAGAAGCCTTGACAGGCAGCCTCCCTATATGTTGGCAGCATGAAAAGAAATAAACACAAAGGAAACTTGCCATTTCCATTCCTAGCTTTTATACAGACCATGTGCTGAAACAGCTTCTCACTGGAGAGCCATTCCGTCTTGCCTATGAATATTTCAGGTGCAAATCTATCTTTCTGTCTTCACAACCTCTCCCATTTGTCTTTTCAAGGCTAATGCTGCTTCAAAAACAAATGTTTTTAAAACATCTGTCATGTGCTTATTATTAAAGTTCTGAGAGGGAACAAAAGGATGTAATTAAAATAATAGTGGAGAGAATTGTGGTGTTTAATCATAAATAAGTTGATTTTGAATCTCACCAAAAGCCAAATAATAGTCTTTGGTCTATTGTGAATTACTTGGTCATCCTCAATAGTCTTGGCCACTTTGCCTGTGACAGTGAAGATGACATAGCTGTGCCATCTTAACCACAAAAATAGTTAAGCTATACTATGTAAATGGGGAATTTATAATTCTTATATTGTCAACTGAATGTGTAGCAAATTATTTTATTTTAAAATTTCACATTTCATAATGATGAGGGTTACTTCTCTCTCCCCTAACTCTGCCCCTAGAAAAGACAATATCATTTGGGCCAGTCAATCACATGGTAGCTCTCATGTCCTGAAAACATTTTGCTATATTTCATAATGCGGGAGGCTTAAGCATGGAAATAGTGTCAAAGAGTGGATGAACTGGGAAACTTAAGGACACTTACAAGAAGCTAGATGAGCAATATTAGTGTCATTAGTTATCTCTGCCAATTTTAGACAGTAAATATTAACAATAAAATAATTGCATCTCAGAAAATATACTCATCTGCTTTTCTATTTGGGTTACAGAATTATAAGAAATAGAAGAAAGTATTTTTTAATAGTGTCTTTCATGGGGTAAAGGTTAGTAACATATTTTTATGATCCTAGTAATTTGTTCAGATTGCAAAACATAGATGTTACACAATGAAGGTTGATAAAATTACAGAAAAAAAAATCAGAATTATCTGTATTAGGTGACCAGAATGAGTTTCTCATCTTGTAATCTTAATCACATGGGTAATCCCATAGAAAATAACTAAAGGAAAATTAAAATTAAAGGAGGACTTTTCCCAGATCTCACCTTGATAAAATTCATTATTGCATCTAAGAAAAAAAAAGATGATAAAGACAAAAATTACAAAAACATGTATATGATTTATTTCAAATAACCCACAGGCATCTACCAATGTAACACAATCAAATAAGAAAGTCTCTTGCAACTTATAGATAGTATTGAAACTTTTCAGAAAAGTCACACAAGAGAAAAGAAACTACAGACCAATATCCCTTATGAATATAGATGCAAAAATTCTCAACAAAATCCTAGCCAATCGAATCCAGGTGCTTGTCAAGAAAATAATCCATCACAACCAAGTGGGCTTCATTCCGGGGATGCAGGGATGGTTCAACATACACAAATCTATAAATATAATTCACCATATAAAAAGAAGCAAAAACAAAGACCATATGATCCTCGCAATAGACGCAGAAAAGCATTTGACAAAATTCACCACCCTTTTATGATAAGAATACTCAACAAATAGGCATAGACGGGGCTTACCTAAAAATGATACATGCTATGTATGACAAAACCACAGCCAATATCATACTGAATGGGGAAAAATTGAAAGCATTCCCACTTAGAACTGGAACAAGACAAGGCTGCCCGCTATTTCCACTTCTGTTAAACATAGTGCTGAAAGTCCTTGCTACAGCAATCAGACAAGAGAGTGGGATTAAGGGCATCTGAATGGGAGCAGAAGAGATAAAACTCTCACTCTTTGCTGATGACATGATATTATACCTAGAAAATCCCAAGGATTCAACCAAGAGACTCCTTGAATTGATAAATGAATTTGATAAAGTCTCAGGACACAGAAATCAGAGGCATTCATATATGCCAACAATAGTCAAAGTGAGAACCAAATCAAAGAATCAAAGACTCAATTCCCTTCAAAATAGCAACAAAAAAACCCAAAGTACCTAGGAATATATTTAACTAAGGAGGTAAAAGACCTCTACAGAGAGAACTATGAAACACTGAAGAAGGAAATAGCAGAAGATGTAAACAGGTGGAAGAATATACCATGCTCATGGAGCAGCAGAACCAACATTGTTAAAATGTCTATACTACCCAAAGTGACCTACAGGGTCAATGCAATCCCTATTAAAATACCATCATCATTTTTCACAGATATAGAAAAAATAATTTTACGCTTTAAATGGAACCAGAGAAGACCCCGTATAGCAAAATCAATCCTAGGCAATAAAAACAAAATAGGAAGTATCACTTTACCAGACTTCAAACTATACTATAAGGCTATAGTAATTAAAACAGCTTGGGACTGGCACAAGAACAGGGACATTGACCAGTGGAACAGAACAGAGAACCCAGATATAAAACCATCCTCATATAGCCAACTAATCTTCGACAATGCAGACAAAAACATACACTGGGGAAAAGAATCCTTATTTAATAAATGGTGCTGGGAAAACTGGATAGCCACATGTAGAAGACTGAAACAGGACCCACACCTTTAACCTGTCACAAAAATCAACTCACACTGGGTAACAGACTTAAACCTTAGGTGTGAAACTATTAGAATTCTAGAGGAAAACATTGAAAATACTCTTCTACACATTGGCCTAGGCAAAGAATTTATGAAGAAGACCCCAAAGGCAATCACGACAACAACAAAAATAAATAAATGGGACCTGATCAAATTAAAAAGCTTCTGCACAGCCAAGAAAACTATCAAGAGAGCAAACAGACAACCCACAGAATGGGAGAAAATTTTCGCAAGCTACACATCAGATAAAGGGCTGATAAGTAGAATTTATTTAGAACTCAGGAAAATTAGCAAGGAAAAACCAAACAACCCTATCAAAAAGTGGGCAAAGGACATTGAGCAGAAACTTTTCAAAAGAAGGCAGAATAATGGCCAACAAACATATGAAAAAATGCTCAACATCTCTAATCACCAGGGAAATGCAAATCAAAACTGCAATGAGTTATCACTTATCTCCAATAAGAATGGCCCTTATCAAAAAAAGTGCCCAAATAATAAATGTTGGCATGGATGTGGAGAGATAGGAACATTCCTACACTGCTGGTGGTACTGCAAACTAGTTCAACCTCTGTAGAAAACAATATGGAGATATCTTAAAGCGATACAAGTAGATCTACCATTTGATCCAGCAATTCCACTACTGAGTATCTACCCAAAAGATCAAATGACACTCTACAAAAGGGACACCTGCACTCGAATGTTTATAGCAGCACAGTTCACAATTGCAAAGTGGTGGAAACAACTCAGGTGCCCATCAATACATGAATGGATTAATAAAATGTGGTATAAGTATACCATGGAGTACTATTCAGCTTTAAGAAACAAGGGTAATATAGCAGCTCTTGTATTTTCCTGGGTAGAGCTGGAACCCATTCTACTAAGTGAAGTATCTCAAGAATAGAAAAACAAGCACCACATGTACTCACTGGCAAATTGGTATTAACGGTTCAACACCTTAGTGGCCATATACGAATAATATTTATCTGATGTAGGACAGGTGGGAAGGGGGAGGAGGGGATGGGTATATACAAATATAATGAGATGTGCAACATTTGGGGGATGGTCACACTTGAAGCCCTGACTCGAGGGGAGAGGGGGGCATGGGCAATATACATAACCTTAATATTTGTACCCCCATAATATGCTAAAATAAAAAAAAGAAAGAAAGATGATCACATCTTGTTCCCTGAAAAATTTGTAATTGGAGAACCATCAACTCTTATATATTTATTCATAAAGGCCAGATCTAGACTTAAAGTGCTGTTTTGTCAAACCTTCTGTGAATTCTTCTATGAGAAAAGGCCCTATGTAACCCTGTTCAAGAGTCTTGCTTGTAGTCTAGTCCAATAGTCTTATTTAACATTCAAAGTCATGGAAACTTCAGAGATACAAGAGTAGAGAATTAGTGAAGTCTGAATCAGCAGTAGATTGGTAAATTCTATCAACTATCTTGGTTGGGGGTGGGAAGGCAAAATCCCTGATTAGTTGTTTTGTCAATTTCCTTTGTGGTCTGACTTTCTACCATGATTGATTTCAAGCTATGGACTTGATGTCTCTGAACACGGAGTTAGGAAGAGATGCACAGTAACATTTACTTACATTGTACACCTATCATAGAAATGCAATAGATGTAAATAACCTCAAGAATATAGGTTATAGAAAAATGCAGTAAAAATAAGTAGGAAGTCATGAATGATAAGTATTTATTATCTTGCTTTTAATATAATACATTTAAGTGTTTAAGTGTATACAATTTAATTTTAATAATGGTTGTGCTTAACCACTGGCTGGAAAGATCCTGATCATTTGCCAAGTGGCTTTCATAAGCCGTTATCAGCCAGTTGCAACACAGGACTGGCTCTGACTGAGTCCCTGTCCCTGAGTTGTTGGCCTGGTGGATTCTAGATGCTAAAAATGATTTAGACGGCTTATCCTTAACATTGTAAATGTTCTGAACCCTCAGTGTTAAAAGAGAGGACCACTCTTTGCTCTTAGACTCTCCTTGGAAAGACTGATAAAATTGAAGGAACTTGAGCTTCAGAAAATTGTACATATGGAAATAATAAATTTTGCTATCATTTCAGAGAGTTGTTGCCCAGATCCTCCCAATTCCCCCAGCAATTTTTGAGTTATCAGGCAAGTAATGAGGAAACAGCTGACATGGTCAATAAAGGATAACGTGTTGGAGGACTAGGGGGGCATCAAGAGGCACTGGTACATGATCTTATAAATCAGTGTCCACCCAATTGATTTCTCAAAGATTTACTTAGAAATAAGAAACTGAACTGGCTAACCCACCTGGGTGTTGTATTACAATGTCTCCTGGGGCTGCCATTACAAAATACCACAAACTGGGTGGTTTAAAATAGTACAAATTTATTGTCCTATATATGAGGCCTTTCTCCCAGATGGAACTGTTTGGTCAATGTCATTATTTCTCTGTTATTGTTTTGAAAGGGTGGATATTTATATTCCCATTTAACAGAGATAGAAGCTCTCTGACTGAGAGAAGAAGAAATTTGCCCAAAATATCCAGTGTAGCAACAGATTTTGTCAGATTTAAGGCCAGGGTTCTTTTTAAAGCCCAAATTCACTTTCTTCCTTGCTGAAGCCCTTTCTCAGGCTTTGCTGTCAGCTGCTCTGTGCATGCTCCATCATCAGCACAGAAGCCCCCTCCAGATACGAGAAAGTGCTGGAATCCCCCAACAAGCGAAGTAAAATATTCTACTCCGAGGGTCATTTAACCCCATGTATTAAAAAGTACATTTTGCCTGATGTCTTCAGTGATATAGTTTTGTATCTATAAAAACATCCATGT